GAGCGTTGGGCTAGGAAGGTATTCAGCTACTTGTACATGAAGAACTTCGATACAAATTGGAGAAAGCGAACCAGAAAATTGACTGGTAAATACTTAAAAAACAGCAGAGGGTTAAACCAAAAAGAAATATCGGTGAAGAAGAAGGTGAAGGAAGCTGAGACCGATATGTGGAGAATTGGCATGATTAAGAAGTCCACACTAGAAATCTATCGAACTTTTTAGCAGGAAATTTCCTAGGAAAGGATTTATGATAATACTCGGGGTAGTTCCCTACTGTTTGAGGCCAGGACGGGAGTATTGCGAAACAAGACATATCGGGCCAAATACGAAGGGGCAGACTCGGTATGCAGAGCTTGCGGAGAGGAGGAGGAAACTGCCGAACACTTGATAATGTTCTGTAGAGGGATGGTGGGGCAGAGTTTTTGAAAGCACTGCGGTTTAGTGACAGGAAGGGTAAAATAGACTTTAAGCGGGTAGAATTAACAAAAAGGAGGTTATTTGATTGGTGGCTAAAGTCAAGGCACGAGTGAAAATTAAACCATTCACTGCAAAGTACGAGTCCTCAACCTCACTATTTAAAGGGAAAAAAAAATCTAGTTTTTGATTCACTAAGTATTGCGGCTTGGTGGCGTGAGCTACCGCCCAATCTAAAAGGTACAGCCATATTCATTCATCTATTCATGCAGCGGCTTCACGAATATGACGTCCGCATAATCTCTCCATGAATCCGCCATCGAATCTCCGTGGATATTGCGCCGTGTAGAGGCTTGCAGCGACCTGCTTCGTTCAATTTTTTTTTTCGTTTCGCTGTTAGCACGTCCCGGTGGTGACCAGCACGCGGTGGCGACAATCACTCGAGGCCTAGCACCGGTTTGTCAACGTTGTCTTGAGGGTACGTCGGTGCAGAGTGACTATACTGGTACGTATCTCCTAGCTTCTTTGTCCGTGGCGTGCCGAATTTCGGGAACAGCCGTCAGTGCTCTTCCGGGAGCGATGTTAAAAAGCGATAACGTCTTTTTTACAACCGCTGATATCTTAGAAAGTGCTTTAAAACGGCTCCAGCGTGGGGGAGAGGGAAAGCGTTTGCGTGACCGTTATGAAATGCAACACTTGTTGGAACCGCTATGTTGCTCTGATTTGTTGTGAGATAGTTGACCATTCAATACATTTACAGACACGTGATCTTACGCGGACGTATTTGAATGAGTAATCCCATTCTTTATCGCTCCACTCTTGACGTATACCACTTCGAAGGTCAGCCGGAAAATAAATGCATAGAGAATTTTTGTGTTATAGGTTCACGCTAGGATACCGCTGTGCAGCAGACGCGAGACAAACTCTTCAGAACGTTGTCATTTCTGTTCCTGAAACGCAATTTACTTCGTGGGCACGTCGCATCAAACATGCGTTTCTTGCTTGCACGCTTTATTACTGCGAATCATTATTTTCCGAGTGTAGAAAAGAAAAAAGGAGGGGGGGGGGGAGACTCCTAAGCATCGGCTTTAACCCCCGTATTCAGACACGCTGCCTGACTTGATCTTGACTTGCCACCGACTTCAATGCAGCACAAACGCGTTTCGAACGCTCTGTCTTTAGGCCGTGCCAAAGTAGCACAGACGTGTTGCGAACGCGCTGCATTGAAGGCGGTTTCAAGTCAAGTAGCGTTTCTAAATATGGGGGTAAGTGTTGAACGCGGTAGTGATATGCTCTCCGTATTAATCCGTAGTTCAGTACATACTTTTTTTTTGTATGACGTTGCACGAAAAGTTCAGATTGTAGATTACTGCAATGTAATCGATAAAGTTGAAAGTGGCTTGTGTCAGTGAAGCTTCCGCATATGGTTGCACTCTATGTAATAGGTCGCGTGCTGTGAATGACTAGCAATTGTACGCCTGAACTGTTTTGGACTTGCAATGCACCCATTACGAGAATTAAGCGAATACACGTTTAAAGAAAGCTAGGTGGTCGAAATTTGCGGAGCCCTCCACTACGTCGTCTCTCATAACCATGTGGTAAGTTTGGGACGTTAAACTTCACACGTCAATCAGACGAATACACGTAGTAACGTCTGTGCCTTTTGCAAGAGCTGGCTGGCTTTAAGCCACGAGATCGTTATGACAATCACACGTTCTGATGTTACATGTTGTACTACGAAGCCTATACAAGACGCGTGTGTTTGTCAAGTATATATATATGCACGACTGTAATCCTCACTGCATTTACAAGCAGAGGAAATTATATTCACTGTATTTCCAAGCAGACGCGTGGTAGAGTACCTGCTTGCCACGCAAACGGCCTGGGTTCTATCCTTACGCGGACACGGAAATTCTGATTGTTTATTTTTTTATTTGCATCTTTCTCAATTTTTCGGTCACGGAGAAGAGGATTTTTCGCTTACAACCAACTACGCCCGCACCGGAATTTCTGCAGAACAAGTTCTTTTCACGCTATCGCTTCGGAAAAAAAAAAAAAAAACGCCATCTGCTCGGCGTTCGTTGCCGTCAGCATTCCACACCGACGAAGCTCACGTGGCCAAGTGACCTTTAGACACCTAATTCGCAAATTTAGTTTACTACGTTCGAAACCGCTCTGTCCTAGCTGCAGGCAGAACTTGGTTCATCCCCATCCAAAACTTCTGTGTGTCCAGCTCGAGCATATTGCCAAATGTGACCAAAAGGGTAAAAAGTGGAGCTTTTTGGCATCAATTCATTGAAAAAAAAAACGATAACAACAACAACAAAAAAAAAACAGCGATGCTATCTCAGTAATCGCATTCCAGTTATTGCATCATGTGTAAGCGCACCGTCCATCGTACTACACGACAGAGAGATCAATAATCTACGTGGTCGAACTTTGCAGTTTCATCTACTAAGAAGTGTGGCAGCTTGGGCCTAGTAACCAAGTGTAACGTTACAGCGTAAAGTGGCCGCGGGAGGTTTGAATGGCCCTGTCACCGCGGCTGCACCTGTGATCGGCACGGATCAGCGCGGATCGTGTTTGTCCGCGGGTGATTGGTTACGTCGCGGGTTCTACCCCGGCCGTGGCAGTCACATTTCAATGGAGACGAAATAGTAGACGCGCGGGTAGCGCCTTTACATTCCAGCACCGTTCATGGTGGTGCCTGCATTGCCACGAAGAGTCATGGCGCGAACTAATACGACTGGCCGCGCGCTAGGTGCTTTTCTGGCGACCGTGTGCTGCCTAGGTACCTAAATGCGCGAACATCTCTAGGCAAGTGTTCTGTGCCTAGGCGCTTTAGTCCCTAGTGGGCTGGCTGGAGCGGTAGGTGTTTTGTGGTGCGGTATGTAAAGGCGGCGTGGGCTGTGTTATGTGTGTGTCAGCGCTTTCTATATTTCGGTGTTTTACGGTGGTTTGTATAATTGCGATATTATTCCTTGTGAATATGGTGATACGAGAGTGCTGGCTGTTCTGTCTAGGCGTTAGTTCTGAGTGAGATTGTGCGCGCTGACGCGCTTTAGTGAACGCTGTCACACGGGTACTTGCTGCATGTGGTCGCGATTGGACTGACGGCTGCTTTGTATTTGATTCGGATTAGTTTAGACTGTGTAGCGGTGACTAATACCGGTTTCCCCCGAGAACGTTTGATCGCGTGGGACAACTTCGTCGCTGCTGCGCTGTACAGCATCGAGTTTGGCGCAGGCGCCCTAACCGCGATCACAAGTGTCTGTGTGACACTGGCGGTACGAATATCGCATTATTTCCACTACTCACACAGGTAGTCCAAGTAGCATAGGAAAAAAAAAAAAACTGTGACTGCGATATCCCCTGTTGGTGATCACGCGCGAATGCTTATACCAAGTTGGACCGTTCAGCTCTGTACACTTTTGTGGCCTCTACTTCTTTGGCTGCTGCTTACTTGAGAGTGCAAAAAAAAAAAAAAAAAGCAGTCTAGCATTTACATCAAAATCACGCAGAAATGGTGCATCATACTTAGGCAAGTCTCTAAAAAAGATAAAACATCTGCAAAGAAGCACATGTACATGTTCGGTCTTGCAAACATGCTTATTGCTCACGCTTTTGGCAAATTTCGTTGTTAGGGTTCTGCTGACATGAGCTACAGTGGACCACAGCACTATACATATATTCTATGATTGATGTGTCAAGTGGTCACCTGTAAGTTGCGATTTGCATAAGGAGCGAGTGCTTTGCCTTGAGCACAACTTTGGCATGCTCACTTTTTGCGTAACACCTAGATCTAAACTAAACTTCGTCGTATAGTGAAGGTGTCATCATCATCAGCCTGACTACGCCCACTGCAGGGCAAAGGCCTCTCCCATGATCCGCCAACCACCTGGTCTTGTGCTTTTTGTTGCGAAATTTTTAATCTCATCGGCTCACCTAACTTTGTCTTTCCTTCCTGCATTTGACTTCCCTAGGAATCCAGTCAGTTACCATTAATGACCAGCGGTTATCCTGCCTACATGCCCGGCCCATTTCCATTTCTTCTTTTTGATTTCAACTGTCATATCCTTAACCCCCGTTTGTTCCCTGACCCACTGCTCTCTCCTTGTCTCTCAAGGTTACACCTATCATTTTCCTTTCCATCGCTTGCTGTGTCGTCCTCAATTTAAGCTTAACCCTCTTTGTAAGCCTCCAGGTTTCTGCTCCATAGGTAAGTACTGGCAAGATGCAGATGTAATACCCATGCCACACGAGCATAGAAAATGACATTCGGTAGCGAAGGCATTGAGTTCCCGAATGACATTTCTTTTGGCCGTGCTGCTACATGTCCAAAGCGAATGACATTTGACTTGATGTCGATCGCAGAACCTTCCTCGCTAGCATTGGGTGAGTAGCAATAAAAAAATAAACAAGCGTTTACAAGCTTCTTTTACATTAAATAATAAATAAATGTATAAATAAACATACTATGCTGCCGTCAGACTTCATTCGTTACTTTGTTTCTCGACGTTGCAACAGACCATGTAGCAACTTAAGCCAAAGCTAGTCAGATCTGCAGCGTAAAAACAAAATGGTGCCTGTCGCATTTATTTTACAGTGTCTACCAGCTGAAGATAAGTTTTTAAGCACTTGTTTAAGTGATTAGTGTAAATAAAATACGCGAAAATTTTCCTTCCAGTCGAATCAAATGTTGTTTTATACAATTACTTCATCAGATGTGCCATTGAGAGTACGCATTTCTCAGTCGAATGAGTTCTGGCGATGGCATTAGGTGACGAATGGCACTTGGGCAAATGCGATTTCGTTCATCCGATGGCACCGCGCGAAAGACATTCATTCTGAAGGCATTAAGAGGTAAGTGCCATTTTTGTGCCTGTGTGGCACGGGTATTATACACCTTCCTCTTGAGGGTTAGTGGCAGATTACCATTCATGATTAGAGCATCCTTGCTGAATGTGATCCCCTCCATCTTTATTTTTCTAGTTAATTTACTCTCATGATTCGGCTCTGCGGTTACTACCTGTCCTAAGTAGACATATTCCTTTACAACTTCCAGTGTCTCTCCACTTATCTCAAAGTGCTGTTTTCTGCAGAGACTGTAGCACATTACTTTAGTTTTGTGCACATTTATTTTCAGACCTACGTTTCTGCTTTTCATGTCCAGTTCTGTAATCATGAGCTGTTATTCGTCCCTTGAGTTACTCATTGCAGCAAAGTCATCAGGGAATTGCAGATTACTAAGATACTCTTCATTAACTCTTATCCCTAACTCTTCATTAACTCTTATCCCTAACTCTTCATAAACTAGGGTATTAAAAACCTCCTGTAAACACGCGATGAATAGCACCTGTGAGACCGTGTCTCTCTGCCTTACACCCTTCTTTATTGGGATTCTGCTGCTTTCTTTATGGTTGGCTGTGGATTCACTGTAGATTTCTTCCAGTATGTTTATGTAGGGTTCTTCAATGCCCCGATTCCGTAGTGCCTGCATTACTGCTTATGTCCTGGCTGAGTAAAACGCCTTCTCATAATTTATAAAGGCCATGTATAGGTGTTGGTTGTATGTGAAAGTGTAGTTTCATATGTTTATGGCACGCAATACGTGAACATTTTGGCACATTCCCAGTGCAGTTAAGCACTGTGTATTTCAATCAGTGCAACTTCTTTCATGATCTAGCAGTAGTTTATTTTGGGCAAAAAATATTTTTTACATCTCATGTGTTAATAAAAGGACCAAGGCAGTGGAGGGCCTTGACACTGCGATCATGCACTACCATATTGCAATTTCCAACTGCAGCTCAAAGATGCTGCTTGACATATTTAATGCATAATGAATTCTATTGTTGCAACGTTTGCCTGTGTAGACTGTTGGTTGTAAAAACATGCTCAGAGGATCGACAGCAGCAGGCCTATTAGTTTTTAAATAGCACCCAAATCGTACTCCATGCCTCCTGATTATAGCGCAGCGTAACAGTATTTGTCTAAAATATGTACTCAATAGGTACGAAACTATAGCTGCGGCACTTCAAGCAAGTTATTTGCAGGTAAAAAAAGGTGGGAGCGCCTGATCACAGCACTATTGGGAGTCTGTCACCATGTACAGATCTTTTGTACTTGCATACGTTTCTGTACTCTCAGGCTCATGTAGAGCAGAAGGAACCTTTGTTGTTGACCATTAAGAGCACAATAAGAGAATTCGGTTTACCTCTCGCAGCCATACATTTAAACTAGAAAGTTTGTCAGGTTAGAATTAGTTGAGGAGATAAAGGTACTTACAATCTTTAGATGCTATAACACCCCATGAGGAGGCCTTGTTGGTCAAAAAGAAAAAGCTTCCTTAGCAGAAAAACCAAGGCAAGGCTTCTCTTGATTGTGATGAAAAAAAAAGCCTTCGCTGTCTTTGACAGTAGAGTTTTAACAGCGTTCGCCAACACCAAGAAAGGCCAACTGTTTTTCTAGGTCTTAAGCATTTTTGCTGGCCTCAGAACAGTGTAACACTAAGCTCTGTTTTTACTCTTTATATAGCTTCTTTCCTATGCGCTTATAACAAACTTTTAATACCTGAACGTTGAATGTCTAGAAATTTAAATACTTCTGAAGTCAAGATTGTCACAAGCTATTTGGATTTCCTTTAGCATGGCATCATAACATATTGAACTTCACTGTAATGAATAGAATACTTTTGCTCTGATTGAACAGTTGCTGTTTCAATCGCCATGCATTTGCACAGATTATGAAACACATTAGACATGATCTAATGACAAATGTCTCAACATAGTAAACAGAAAAGTTGTAATATTCATATGTGGTGTTTCATAGCATATTCAGATAACGGGGGTGCAGCTGAGAGGTAGAGCGCTTGCTTCGCATAGCATATTCAGTAAAAGCATTGCTGGTGATCGCTGTATTGTTATCTCATTGAATTTGAATAATTAGTATTGAGGGGCTACTTTATTGCATGTACTTATAGTAGCACCATATTTATCCTGTTCTTTATATTATGTCTGTGCATTTCAATAATGACATTTGAACAGCCTGGAAGTCGTATTAGTAGTGCCTGTCTTTGTCATGTTTCACCCCGATTTAGCATTGTGTCCTATGCTAGATGCCAAAACAGATTGATAGGTCACATCTCCCTTTTACCATGAAGAGGTTTCTTTTTAAGCCAACCTTTAAGGCAGTGACGTTATTCTGCATTCTGCTGTAGAGCATATGAGCAATACTATTTGTTCATACAGGACGCTATACCATCAGTCGCATTTACATGCCTTTTTGGTCTACACATGTAGTTTTAAAAATCATCAGTGTAAATGCGACTGTCTTTATTCAATTATGAAGTAGTGCATTAAAAGAAAAAAAGTCCGCACCTCTATTCTGCCCCTAGGGTAGAGTGAAATGGTGCTATGCAGTCAGGGGGGGATCCAGCCGCTTTTTTAGGCGGCGGAGTCGCTAATTTAACCCTGGAGAGAGGGGCATGTTCATTACTTTTTTGTTTTTTTACTAACCCAAAAACTCTATCATAGCGTAAATACTAATAATGTGTGCTCAAAGGGAATTCCACTCATGTGTCCTAATTGGTGATAGCAGGTAGACGGTGAGCACTGAAGAGAGGGGGAGGGGGGGCGGAGATCGCCCATACTGCCCCCCTTCTGGATTCGCCACTGCGTGCAGTTCTGTACAAGATTACAGGATTGATTCCGAACCACAGCAGTCAGTCACATTATAATGGATGCGATATGTACTAGTGCCCTAGTGCCATGCACTCTGAGAGATTATGAGCTTTCACTTACAACAGTACATCTCATAACCAGATTTTAGTTTTGAGACATTAAACCATGGAACTTAATTTTATTATTTCTTCTCTAAACCAGCATAGATGCACAGTGCTTGCAAAACCCTGCTCCCAATTTTTTTTCATGTGGATGTCTGACTCATCACATACTTTATGGCATCATTTAGCAGTGTGGTTTTTCAGGGCCTTCCTGATTGCCATGTCCTTTTTTTTCACATTTGTTCAAACCAGAAGACAAATTCACCAGTGAACAATTACGGCACGGAAGGATGTTTGAAACAGTTGGTTATGTGTTCAAGTGTGCCTGTACACACGCCATTTGCAAATCAACAACAAAATTCCTTCATCTTTGTTATGCAAACTAATTCTTAATTGTGCAGCAGTCATGCAGCTATACAGTCAGAGAAATACATGTTCAGGACAAATAGAAATGTTTAATAAAAGTTGCTGAGATAAAAATGCAAGGTTAGGCGTCTCATAATCATATGGTTGTTTCGGGACGTTAAACCCCACTTATCATAGAAAATGCCATGTTAACCTTGCTTAAAAAAGTTGCTTGTTATTTACAACACACTTAAGGATCAATATTAATTATTTGCAATTAGAGACAGGTGCAAGTTTAGAAAAAAGTGCATCTTAAAACCACATGAGGGAGCAGGTAAACATTATTGTCACAGAGCACTTTTACTAAATATCCTATCCAAGATTGCAGGAAAATAAGCACCTGCAAACATATGCGCTAGAAATAGCAACAGTATGCTCAGCGTGAGGCTTTTGATGCAGGAAAAACAAAGGAATTATGAAAATGACTAGATGTTGGATGACAAAGCCAAGACAGTGTTTTATTAGCAGTTTTTGAAATGCTTAACTTGTGGATATTTTCAATAATGTTGCTGACTTTGCTCGTTGTGCACTTGGCTGGAGTGCAGATTGATTTTGACCACTGTCACCTTTCCTCCTTTGAAGTCCTTGGCAGCAAGTACACGTACCTGTAACAGACATGGCAAATTTACCCTACCTCCTCCTTTATTCCCTGTATAATTCAAGCAGCAGCTTATCTTCCCACTCCCAAATAAAGGTGGCGGCGAGTAAGCTATGCATGCATGAACTTCACTGCACAGGTCGGGCTGCAATTCGAAGCATAAACTCTCATAAGAAACTATGATAAGGGTCCACCTTGTTCAGACTGCTGAGATTAAAGCGAAATTGTTGAAACACAAAAATATGAAAATAGATTGCTTTATTGCTGTAAAGTACAGCACAGTAAAGTGATAGTGTGAAAAGAACACTCACAGATGGAGCAGTCGAATGGGTGGCAAGCGTTCCTTGGTTGAACGGGCAGTCACATTCAATGGGCCTCATGTGTAGCCCTGGCCATGCTATGAAAAAAGCACATGCTAGTGCCTTCATTCCAACTTCAATCGTGAGTGGGCACCCTTAAATACAGAGCAAATGCCCCTTCCTACTTTACAGGAGATCTGGAATATGTGCAAGCGGCCCCACCCCTTCCACAATTATTTTTCAACCTGTTCTCCACTACAAAATTCTGCAGCAGCAGTTCCTTGGAACCAAAGTTCTGAGAGGCTTTATATATGTGCAAGAATTTTTTAACACTTTTACAGTGTGATGCCTCGAGGCTGCCTTCTGAGTTGTCACAAACTATCTGAACATTTATAGAACATCTTTTGCTGCCTTCTGAGTTGTCACAAACTATCTGAACATTTATAGAACATCTTTCCCCCCTTGTCATAACACATGAAATTTCACAGAAGTATTCTTCTCAAGTCTGTAAAATCATTAAATGTGTGTGTATTCAATACAGCATTTCATTTGAAACACTTGTGTGCATTTTTCTTAAAGACACTTCTATATTGAATTAGTGTCCGAGACCAAGCAAGGGCCCCCCCTCCAGATCATGCCTGATCATCTTTCAGCAGAAGGGGTGATTTCTTGAGGCTTTACAGTAGTAGGAAGTGGGAGGTATTGCTTGAACCAGTGTGAATTTCTCACTTCGAAGTACTAAGAACCTGGTCAGCTTTTAACCCTACGCAAGGAGAAGAAG